TAAATTATCTTAAATTTATTTCATTTTGATATAATCTGCCTCCAAACCCAACCCAAACTCTAAAATCTGATGACTTATGAGTTGAATATGGACTATAAAATTTTTTGGCGGGTGGGGGGCAGAAGGTTTTAAATTAGAATTAGTTGACAGCATTTAAAAACTCTCCTGAAAAATCTGGGTGATTTGGTAACATTGGCCACATGCTCCTTCATGGTAACAATCAGCAGCAAGGTCCCTTTTCCAGTCTCCCACATTCCCCTTGTTCCTCCACTCCCAACCCACGATATCCCCAACAATTAACTAAGTGTCAGTTTTCATTTATCATCTTATGTTCCGTTCATTTGACTTACTTTATTACCAGCCTGGCACTTTGTAGGCATCTGAGTTTGTAATCCTTGATAAAGAAAGTAAATAATAGGAGGGCAGAGACCTTGCTTATCTTGTATACCTTTGTATCCCCAGGGTCTAGCTCAAAAAGTATTTGTTGAATAAGCAAGCTTTTATTTCAGAAGAATACTTTTACTATTAAAATCAAACTAGAAGGAAAAGCAGATGAATATATATAGAATTGTTAAAGATCAAATGAAAAAGATACAATTTTGCTAATATGGGTTTGGGGCTCAAAGTTAGGACTATGACACCTCAAACACTGGGTCCCAGGGGCAACAAAGCTAACCATTTCAAATTAAAAACAATTAACAGATTCATTTATCAATGTATATACCATATATTTTTTTTTTTTTTTTGCAGTACGCGGGCCTCTCACTGCTGTGGCCTCTCCCATTGTGGAGCACAGGCTCCGGACACACAGGCTCAGCGGCCATGGCTCTCGGGCCCAGCCACTCCGCAGCATGTGGGATCTTCCCGGACCGGGGCACGAACCCGTGTCCCCTGCATCGGCAGGCGGACTCTCAACCACTAGTGCCACCAGGGAAGCCCTATACCATATTTATTACAACACCAACTCATTAGTAAGGTGATTGATTATATTTATATATATAATTTATGTATTTATATATGTAAAATTATTTAGATATATATTTAGATATGTAATTTATGTATTTAGGTATGTAATATATATTTAGATATGTAATTATGGAAGAAATAAACTTCATTTTTCCCCTCTTAAAAACTTTACATGTACACAAGAAATGCATTCTCATTGTAGAAAAATTATACAATACAGAGAACTGAAAAACGTCACCAGTCATTCTACCACTTAGAGGTAACAATGAATAAGATTTTGATGTATTTATATTTTGATAAATACTTTTTGATGAATAGATACATATGTGTAGTTTAGATTTACATGTATGTGTGTGTATATATATATGATCATACTTTAAATACAGCTAATTTCTGATCTCAGAAAAATCGATTTAATTCAGCCAGTATTTGCAGACTATTATATGCAAGGCACTATTCCAGTCAATGTCAAGATGTAATATCTTTTTTCATAGTCATGAAATAACTGAATTGTTTAAAAGAGCAGATGTTAAATAAACTAGTCTATGAGAACAGTTGAAGATAATTACAGTTGACCCTTGAACAACACAGGGGTTAGGGGTGATGGCCCTCCATGCAGTTGAATAGCTTCCTGTAACTTTACAGTTGGCCCTCCATATTTGCAGTTCCACACCCATGGATTCAACTGACTATGGATTGTGTAGTATTGTAGTACATATTTATCAAAAAAGAATCTGCAGGGCTTCCCTGGTGGCACAGTGGTTAAGAATCTGCCTGCCAATGCAGGGGACACGGGTTCCAGCCCTGGTCTGGGAAGATCCCACATGCCACGGAGCAACTAAGCCTGTGCGCCGCAACTACTGAGCCTGTGCTCTAGAGCCCGTGAGCCACAACTACTGAGCCTGCGTGCTGCAACTAATGAAGCCCACACGTCTAGAGTCCGTGTTCCACAACAAGAAAAACCACCACAATGAGAAGCCTGAGCACCGCAACAAAGAGTAGCCCCTGCTTGATGCAACTAGAGAAAGCCCGCGCACAGCAACAAAGACCCAACGGCAGCCAAAATAATAATAATAATAAATAAATAAATAAAATTAAAAAAAAAAAAAGAATCTGCATATAAGTGGACCTGGGCAGTTCAAACCCATGTTGTTCAAGGGTGGATTGTATTATGAGAGGAAATATGGCAGAATGGAAAGACAGCTCAACTGCATGAGCTTGGATAAGACCCTTCCCTCACTTATGACACTGAAATAATAATAATGTTTACCTTAGAGAGTCCTTATGAGAATTAAATGAGATTATGGCATAGAATGTTTGGCACATGAATACATAATAGTTGTGTTTATTATCATTGTAATGATATTGATCAAATTATGTTGCTAATATACCATCTTAACAGTAACTGAAGTGGTTGTACTAGTTAGTCAGAAATGAAGTTTAAGAATTCAATGAATGTGGACTTCCCTGGTGGCGCAGTGGTTGAGAGTCCATCTGCCGATGAAGGGGACACAGGTTCATGCCCCAGTCTGGGAAGATCCCACATGCCGCGGAGCGGCTAGGCCCATGAGCTATGGCCGCTGAGCCTGCGCCTCAGGAGCCTGTGCTCCGCAACAGGAGAGGCCACAACAGTGAGAGGCCCGCGTACCGCAAAAAAAAAAAAAAAAAAGAATTCAATGAATGCAACTCAATAACAAAAAACCCCAAATAATTCGATTAAAAATTAGACGAAGGACCTGAATAGACACTTTTCCAAAGGCATACAGATGGCCAACAGGTACATGAAAAGGTGCTCGGCATCACTAATCATCAGGGAAATGCAAGTCAAAACCACACCTGTTAGGATGGCTTTTATCAAAAAACAAGAGATAACAAGCGCTGGCGAGGATGTGGCAAAGATGGAACCCTTGTGCACTGTTAGTGGGAAGGTAAATTGGTGCAGCTACTATGGAAAACACTATGGAGGTTACTAAAAGAATTAAATATAGAACTACAATATAATCCAGCATCCCACTTCTGGGTATATATCCAAAGGAAATGAAATCAGAATCCCTAGGAGATATCTCAACTCTCATGTTCATTGCAGCATTATTCACAATAGCCGAGATATGGAAACAAGCTAAGTGCCTCTCAACAGATGAATAGATAAAGGAAGTGTGTGTATGCATGCACGTGTATGCACACACACACACACACACACACACACACAGTTGACCCTTAAGGAACGCTAGGGTTAGGGACGCCTACCCTTCATGCAGTCGAAAATCTGTGTATAATTTGATAGTCTGATCTCTGATTTTGTGGTTCCACATCCACAGATCAAACTAACTATGGGTCCAACCTACTATGGATCATGTAGTACTGTAGTGTGTATTTACTGAAAAATATCCACATCTAAGTGAACCAGAGCAGTTCAAACTTGTGTTGGTCAAGGGTCAACTGTATATAAAATGAATATTATTCAGCCATGACAAAGGAAATCCTACTATTTGCAACAATATGGATGAACCTAGAGAACATTATGCTAAGTGAATAAGCCAGATAGAGAAAGGCAAATACTGTAGATCTCACTTATATATAGAATCTGAAAAAAAAAAAATCAAACTCATAGAAACAGAGAGTAGAGCAGTGATTACCAGGGAATAGAGGGTAGGGAAACAGGGAGATCTGGTCAAAGGGTACAAGTTATAAGATGAATAAGTTCAGTTATAAGATTAATAAGTTCTGGGGATCTAATATACAGCATGATGACTATAGTCAATAATACTTTATTATACACTTGAAATTTGCTAAGAGAATAAATATTAAGTGTTCTCACACCACACACACACAAACACACATAACTATGTGAGGTGGTGAATGTGTTAATTAACCTGACTGTGGTAATCATTTCACAATGTATATGTGTATCAAATCATCCTGTTGTATACTTTAAATATATATAATTTTATTTGTCAATCATACCTCAATAAAACTGGCAGGGGAGAAAAGAATTCAACTGACTGAAGATTTTGAGAGAAGTGAGTCAAGTTTTTCACTTCTAAGTTATCTCTCTCACAAAACTAGGGTACTTAAAAAAGTGTAATATAAAATCTGCTGATTTGGGACTTTTACACTAGTACTTTTATAAACTAGGAGATGAAGAAAGAAATAGTAAGAATATCTGAACAACTTGGTTAAAGTTCCTTGTTTAGAGAACTTTTGTAGAGCAAAATAATCCATATAATTTTTTTTTTTTTTTTGCATTACGCGGGCCTCTCACTGCTGTGGCCTCTCCCGCCGCGGAGCACAGGCTCCGGACGTGCAGGCTCAGCAGCCATGGCTCACGGGCCCAGCCGCTCCACGGCATGTGGAATCCTCCCAGACCGGGGCACGAACCCGTGTCCCCTGCATCGGCAGGCGGACCCTCAACCACTGCACCACCAGGGAAGCCCTAATCCATATAATTTAAGGAAATATTTTAAATTGTTAGATGTATCTCAGAAGACAATCACTTTATACATACTTGTAAAATAGTATTTATTATAGTATAGTTACTTTTTAGTTTCTCTCTACTTCTGTCTTACCCTCATCTCAAGGGTAAGAGGTATATCTTATGCATTTATTGATTAAAGAACTTAATGAAGAAACCAAAACTCCATAGCTTTAATTCCAAGAGGAATTAAAAAGTGGAACTAACCCAGGCCTTTGCCTGGTTATCAGAATATTAGCACCTGAATTACTTAAGCAGATTTTTCAGAATGGCTCCAGGTCCTGACTCATCAAGATTAAGAAGCCTGGGTTAAGGAGACAGAAGGCAAAGTTTAAACGTGAGTGTGTTTGGTAGGGTATCTGCCTCCATGTCTCAATGAATTCAGAAGCATATAGAAAATGTTTTTAAATTTTAATTTTTATTATCTGCTCAAGCCCTCTAATGGAACAGATAGAGAATAAGCTCTGAAAAGAGTGGAATGAGATGGCCACCAATAACAGAAACATTTCTCAAATTCCCTCAGAAAGATGAAAAAGTAGAGGGCAAAGAGAGTTTAACCTACCTCTCTCTTTGCAAAGGACAAAAAGGAATTCAGCAGCAATTTGCTTGACTCCCAGGTCAACATGTGTCATGAGGCGCACCAGCTTATTTCTCACAGTTGAGCCAACTTCAGGTCGATTTGTCACATCCCTCAATGGTGGTAAAACCTAATGGCACAAATGCAAAACCATCATCAATCGTTTAAGTATTAGAGTAAGCGAGAATGGTACCAACCGAGCTTAGTTTTGTAAGAGTAGAAAAAACATTAAAAACTAAATAGGTTTGCTTCCAAATAGAATAAAGCTAAACAAAAAACAAACCTCAAATAATTTCATGCCTGTAATGAAATTTCATTTGAAGTGAAACATCTCTTCACTGTACCAACCACCATGATATATTCAAACCCATTCCTGAGTTTTTACTCATCTAAGCACCTGGAATGCCCCTGCTGCCTCTATCAAAATCCATGTTAAAGTCTGGGTCAAATTTCTCTTTCTTCCTTAATACCCTGACTCATATTGATTTTTCCCTTCTTTTAATTCCTGCAGCATTTTCATTGTTTACTAAAAAATACCAAAAACCCTGTACATATGTTTTCTAGTTGTTTTATTTTATAAAAAAATGGTTATTAATTATTGAGTACTTCCTATGTGCTAGTTGCTGTAATAGATGATATGCATACATTCTCTATAATCACCCCTCACAGGAACCTTGCAAAGGAGGTAGTAATATCACTATCATCCCTATTTTATAGACTGATCCTCAGAGGGATTACATAACTTGCTTGGTTTATCTGTTTGTTTGCTCACTCACTCACCCATCCATGCATCCACCCAGACCCCTCCTCTTTTGGTTCTCCACACTGGTTGCTTCATCTTAGCCTCTGTGCCAGTTCTCCTTTATCCTTTTGTTTTTAAGTGCTGGAATATTCAAGGGTTAAGTTCTTGGGCAACATTTCTTTACTATTTTCACTCTCTATTGGTGATCTCATCCAGTTTTACGGCTTTGTATGGTCTCTATTTACTGATAACTCCCTAAAGTATATGTCTATCTTGATTTCTTCCATGACCTCCAGACTTTTATAGGCTTCTCAAATTTAGCATGTCCTAAGCAGAATATTGAAGCTCCCAACAAAGCTGTTCCTTCTACAGTTTTCCATTTCATTAAATAGCAAGTCTGTTCTTCCAACTGTTTACTGCAAACACCTTGGAAACAGCCTTGATTCCTCTCTTTCACATCCCACATCCAATCCATCAGCAAATTATTCTGGCTCTACCTTTGAATTATATCCATAGCCCAAAAACTTCTCACTATCTCCTCTAGTATTACCAAATTCAAGGTACCAGTATTTCTCATCTGAACTATTACCACAGTCTCCTAAGTCATCCCTGCTTCCATCCTGGTCCTTCTATGATCTATTACATAGCAGCTAGGATGATCCTTTGAAAGTCAGATCATGTCATTCCTCTTCACAAAGTCCTCCAGTTCCCATGGCTTCTCATCTCACTCATAGTAAAAGACGAGGTCCTTCCAAACTCCTTAAGTTTCACATAATGTGGCTTCCTGCTACTTTTCTGACTTAATTTCTATTATATTCCTTGCTTACACTGCTATAGTCTCATAAACCTCCATGGAACTCTTTATACTCACCAAGAACTTTCCTACCTCATGGTCTTTGCATTTGCTGCTCTCTCTGCCCAGAAACTCTTTTTCTGGAAACTGGCTTGGCTCATTCCCTTACTTTCTTCAGGTCTCTGTTCAAATGCTATTTATAGGAAGACATTCCCTGACCGCCCTATATAATTAACCTTCAGCATTCTCTTTTTTTTATCCCACTCCCTCTGCTTTAATCTTCCTCACAGCACTTATCACCACCTAACACAGTATATATTTCTTTCTTTATTGCCTGCCTTCTTCCACAAGTCAGTTCCATGGGGGCATGGATTTCTTTCTGTTTTGTGTACCACTCTCAGTGCCCGACATATTACAGGTTTCAATAAATATTTGATGATTGAAGAATGAATTAATTCAAGTAACTTTTTTTTTTTTTTTTTTTTTTGCGGTACGCGGGCCTCTCACTGCTGCGGCCTCTCCCGTTGCGGAGCACAGGCTCCGGACGTGCAGGCTCAGCGACCATGGCTCACGGGCCCAGCCGCTCCACGGCATGCGGGATCCTCCCAGACCAGGGCTTGAACCCGTGTCCCCTGCATTGGCAGGCAGATTCTCAACCACTGCGCCACCAGGGAAGCCCTCAAGTAACTTTTTAAAAGTGCCGTCTATAAGCTAGGCACTATGCTAGGAAATGAAGATAGACACAAAGTCAAATTATAATTTACTATACCAGACTCTTTATGTGTATATTATTTTTTATTTAATCCATTCAGCTGACTTCCTTCCTTCCTTATCTCTTTCTATACTGAGTGCCTACCATGTATCAGGAGGTCCTGGAGGCCCTGGAGATATAGCTGTGAAACAAACCCAGAAACTGAATCTCAGAAAACTGAGTAATCTACCCAAAGTGTTTATAGAATCCGTGTTTCAATATCTCTGGTAGGATAGAGCAAAATGCTCTTTGTGCCTGGTAGGCACAAAGTAATTGCACAATAAATTCTTATTATTTGATTCAGCCAACCATACTGAGTTTATCTCCCATTTCTAGAGGAATGAGGCATGTAACAAATGATTTCATGTGGTATGTACCTACAGTTCCAGAGTATAGTATCTAGTAATAAAGGATATCACACAAAAATTTTCTTAGCTATGTTTTGGGTTCCTTAACAAGTTTTTGAAGTGAAATTTTATAGTTTTTATTGTTACGTATCATGCCCAAACTGCATATGTATGGGGCATTTCTATTTCCCCCCAAATAGTACCCTCCACTAAATTTTTTCTTTTCTTTGAGAAATCTTGTTCAGTTCCTCTTTCAAATCCATAGAATCTTCATCTCTTCTATTAGCCTCTCCAGATGAATCCAACCTGAATCAGTAATTTCTACCATCTGTTCTCTTTCTACCTGCCCAAATACTGAATACTCAAGACCAATTTACTTTGGGTATGCACAAGTTGGATTTAATCAGGTATTAACTATGGGGCACAATAATTAATTAGCCATGGTTCCATTTACACTATTATCAAAGTTAATCATCTGTTACTTTAAGTTCTGCCCTTCTTGATCCTCATAGTCTATAGTGCATCTTCCTCAGAAAGATAGTGGATTTCTGTATTGTGCCTTGTATCTTTCTTTAGTTATCTTTTACTTGTCATGTCTCCTTCTTTATCTGTACTGTAGTATTTCTTTGAGGATAAGGAGTGGGTCTCACAATCTTTTGTATCTATATAATGTATAGTCCAAGACCTTCATATAAATAATCTGTTTAACAAACAGATTTTAGGGGGGCTGTCCTGGTTAGAGATGGCAAAATCTAAACAGTTTAGTTGAACATGGATCTCCTCTGTGAAAAAGCTAAAATATAGAACACAAAGTATTTTCATTTATTATTTTCCACCAAGTCCTCCTAGTCATGATAGAATGTCTTAAAATAACCAAACTTGGAAATGACCTTAATTCATCAATTAACTAATTTATTTTGCTCAAATGATTATTCATGCTTTGATGGTAGCTAGTCTTCCAATAGACTATAAATTCTTCAAAGATAAGAGTCCCTACTTTCTAATTTCTCCTTATCAGCAATATCTATTAATGTGCTCTACACACAGTAAAGTGCTTATTAAATCTTGACCATAAACATATGGGGGAAAATGAACCTAGTTAATTTATTAAGAGAAATTCTATATGGCAATAAATGAACAATGGGGTGAATGGTGGTACCATGTAGTAAATGAGGAAAGAAGGGGAAGACAGGGTGGGGAGGGATGGGAATTCAAGAGATTAGTTTGGGATACGTTAAACTTAAGATACCTACTACACATCCAAGGGGAGGAGATGAGTAGGCAGTATGTTATGTAAGTCTGGAGCTTAGGGGACAGGTCAAGGGTAGAGATAGAAATTTGCGAGTCAGCAGTGAATAGATGACTTTCAAAACCATGACTGTTGAATGAGACCAACAAGAGAGTAGAAATGGAGACAAAGATAATACTGCCTTGGGGAGCTCAAACACTGCAAAGAAGAAGTTCCCTGTTGTGTCCTAGACACCAAGTGAAGAAGGTACTTCAAGTAGGAAAGAATACTTAATGACATCAAAATGTTACCGGGGAATAAGAAAAAGATTTGAGAACTATTAGATTTGGCAATATCGGGTTGATGATGTTTGACAAACACCTTTGTAGTAGAGTGAAAAGCATGAAAACCTAATTACAGTGGGTTCGGAAGAGAATCAAAATGAGTTAAAAGGAAGAGAGCGGGTGAGCACAGAAAACTCTCCTGAGGAACACTGCATAAAGAAGAGAAGAGAAATGGAGAGGCAGCTTGAGAAGTGGGATTAAGGTTTTTCTGCTTTTAAGATGGAAGATGTGTTTGGGTGCAGACAAAAATGATCCAGTACATTAAAAAAAAAAGAAGATTAATGTAAGAAGAAAGAGAGGGAGTAAATGCAGGAGCAAAGTTCTTGAGGTGAGAGGGAAAGGTATCCAGGATATGAGTGCAGAGGCTGGCCACAGAAGGAAGCAGGGACAATTCATACCTTGTGATAGAGGGGGGAGACAAAGGACATGGGGGTACAGATAGAGGCAGACAGACAGTAGATGCAGAGGTAGAAAGATGACTTCTTAACATGAACTCCAACTACTACCATCTTACTCCGAACCTCATCATCAGCTCTCTTTTGGGCTGGTCTCCTCACATCTACTCGCACTCCTTTAGTCTATCTTATATATAGTAGCCAGAATATCTTTAAATATAAATGAGGTCACATCACGTCCCTTCTCAGAACAGTCCAATGCTTTCCCTTCTCACTTAGAAGAAAATCAAAATTCCTATACAACCTTACGTTATTTGGTTCTTGCTTACCTCTTTTACTTCATCTACCACTCTCCCCCTCGCACAATGTTCTCTAGCCTTCTTGCTTTTCCTTAAGCATACCAAAGCATCCTCTCATCCAGGGACTTTGAATTCGTTCTGTCTGGTACATTCCTCTTCCAGAATATTCTCAGAACTACTCTGAGAGAATATCCTCTTCCAGATATTCTCAAAGATCCTTTCCTTACTTATCCAAGTTTCTGCTCAAATGTCATTTCCTCAGAGAGGTTCTTCCTTATTCCCTTAAGTTTTCCCTTCCCCTGTATCTTTCTTCTGAACACTTATCACTACTTGCCATTGTATCATACATTCATTTATTTTTTGTCCCCCTACAATAAGAGAAACTCCACAAAGCAAAGACTTCATTTGTATTTCAATGCTTAGAATACAGCACACAGATCTCAATAAACATTTGTTGAGTAAATGAATGAATGACTCAAAAAAATAGACAAGGGTCACTTATTTCTGGATTAGGAAGATTTCAAAGATTTAACACTAACTTTTTTGAGTTTCTGACATTCTGAAAGAAAACGACTGTGATAGAATTTGACTCATTAATTTTATGTTAAAAAACACATATAAGATTAACTTTGAGATGTTAATATGCATTAAACAGTTACCTGATCTTTGAGAAATTTTCTGATGTTTCGATGGGCTCGGGAACATTCTGTTAATAAGCTGAGAACTGGAGTTAGACCCTCTCTATAGCTGCTTCCCTACAAAGAAAACCACACATGCTGCATTAGTTTAGTTTCTAACAGTTTACTTTTCTTCATATAACTGAGTATATTAATACTCTTTTTTTGAGAGGAAGACACACTATGTTACCAAAGCTGTACAAACTATTTTAAAAATTATTTTCCTAAAAATATTTCCATTTCATTAGTTATCTTAATGTTTACTAATGCCCATTTTTATCCTTCCTGGATTTTTCTACATTTTTTAGGGCCCTCATTGGCTCAGCAAATGGGCTTAAACAAGGCGAAGGTTTTGATGACCAACCCATCCTAACTTGCTGCCTTTTAATACAGATACTTGACAAAGCAAGTGACAGAAAAGAGAAAATAAGCAGCTTACAACAAATGGAAAGTTGACAAACTTCTTTTAAAGATGTCTTTTAGGTGTTATGGAAAGTAGTTATCATCAAGTTTTCGGGGGGAGATAATTTTTACTTCTAGAACTTACAAAATACCTACATAGAAAAGTAATTACTTTTTCCTTTGTTTTCAGGCACTAGTCACAATTTTGGTGTCGCATCAACACAATTTTCAGCTTTAAACAAATAAATTCACTTGGTTTCAGCAATTTATCATTTACTACAGTAAAATGCTTTCTGGAGTATAAATAATTGCTCAAGATGTCAGCTATAAAAAAAAAGCTTAGATTCAAAAATCACATCCTGTGATGCCTGTATGTGTGTACAATTACATTCTTTAGAAGCATCTTCTCAATTTTATCAGTCTTACCTTGTCTATTCTCTTCTCCATAAAACTAAGTAAAACATGAATGGCCTCCATATTCATACCATTGTATACCATGGTATTATTTTTCAAAACTGTTTCTTTCTCAGCTGTTTTATCACTGGGCAGTTCATCTAGCGTCGTTGCTTCTGGGGCTGTTTCTCCATGGGTTAATGGACAAATGAGAACATCCAAACAAGAGACTGGAACATTGCTTAAAAGGTTGACTGCATTGCTGAAAAGCAATTTAAAAAGACAATATTTTAATTTGACTGACTAGTCCTTTAAAACACAAACATAATAAGTTCAGAAGTGACTTTTAGGAGTCAATTAAAATTCTTCTTTTTCAAAATGAGCCTTTAATATTATTTGGCATTTACTGACTAACAGAAAATAAAGAGAACTGTTTCAAATACACACATGACAAATTAGAAAGAACAGATGTTAAATGGACACACACAATCATATGATGTCATGTCACTTTCTGAAATGCTAAAATAGGAATTAGTGAGCTTTAACACTAGCTCTTTAAATTTATTATGATACTAGATTTGCAGTTTTTCCTTGGGATTTTAAATCCTTTTGTGGATTCACTGGTGTCTTATTATTCCTTAGATTACAACATAAAGCATTTGAGAAACACTGTATATAAGCAGCTTATCACAGAGGCAACAACATTAAAAACCAAATATTGTAGGATTAAATTTTGTCCTTTCTAGATATAGAAATACAATTTTTAGATCCACCCTTATTTCATAAGACATTTGCAGAAAATGGTAAATGGTGCTTTTTCTCCTTCTCTTGTCCCCAGATTTCTTTAAAAGAGGCCAACATAGCTACTTCGAATCTCTATCCCCCTAGGCCTTTCTTTCTATGTATTAATGAAATAATGAGCCTGGGATGCACACCAGTAGGGGGAACCCAAACCTTGTATTTTTTGGTATTCCCTAAAAATCTTGTTCCATTGCTCAGTGTATAAGAGATTAAAATTAAAATTGTCAGTGTTTAATTGACACTAACAATTTAAAAATTAGACATGCTCTCAATTCATATATTTTCCTTCATGCATTATTTCATATTTTTTCTTTTAAAAGGAGAGGTGGTGTTCTGTGCTAACTGCATCTTAAAAGCCTGTGCCTCAGAACTTCCTGATAAACAACAATGGAGAGACAGGCATTACATTTCCTAGTGACAGAGAAGCAGATCTAAAAATAACTGCATTGTGACTAAAAATAAACTCTTGCAAATACAATTTAAAAGTCTAACCACTTGGAAACCAAATTCAGGGCTTAATCTAACTGATGCTATCTTAATTTAGCCCATAGTAGTTCCTTTTAATTTAGATTATAGTGACACCCTCAAATATATTAAAAAACAACAACAACAAAACAGAAATAAAATACAAAATATTTTCTCTCCTTTACCCTGAAGTGTGGCTGCATTTCCCCAAGAATGAATATTTCTTTTCTTTCTTTTTATATTATGGGAAAAAAAATTCATAAGAACTCAAAGTTGAAAAAGTAGACAATGGAGAACAATAACTGGTAATGTAAAGGGCACCAAAAAATCAGAACGAAGAACAAAAATAATTTAACAAGTCCTATAAATGAAAGGTTCCTGGTAAAATACAAGTTATTTGGTTGTCCCCACTAAGAATCTACTACTGCTGCTGCTGCTGCTGCTATTACTACTACTACTATTCAACAAAGTTTCTAATTTTGATTATTTGTAAATAATCGCAATTGGCTGAAATACGATGCTTTTCCCTCAAACTTTCCTTTTAAAATTTTTGCAAACATCTGTAGTTCCTTATCTATAGATAAATATATTGCACTTCTGACTTCAGCATTTGGAAACTGTTATTAAATATCATAGATTCACTGGGGTTAAAAGAAAAGAAATAGAACTCTACCTTAGAATTACTTTCTAAAACTGTAAAAGCCACTTTGAAATGTTAGTTTTTTTTCAACACATAGACGACAGGCTGGAGTCCACCAGTAGTATGATTCTTTGAATCTACCATAGAGACCACACTGAAAAGTTTAAGGCAATGCATTTCATTACAAAGGAATGCTTCCCTTTAAATTCATTTAAAATAAGCAGTTTCCAGGAATTTCGTAAATTTAAGAAACCAAATGTAGAGTTTGATTCAACAAATATTTGGAGGTTTTAGGCTTTTCAAGAAAAGTTCCCAGTTTCTTGTTTCTTATTAAACAACTGGGTTCCCAAACAACTACAAAATTAATTTTCTGGCTCACTGTGTTTGAGCTATTCTTTTTAAGTAAGGAAAGCCAGCTTTTTGAGCTGTCACTTCTCTGACAGTTTTATTTGTGGTAGAAGAGTGTATGAAATTCTCTAGCTACCAGGAAGTCAGTGACTATGCACAGATCTGCACAATGGTGTTTGCATTCCTACTCCAGGGGGTAGAAATACTGTGTATATTACTCTCCCCTTTTCAGCTTCGTAGAGATCATTAATCACTGGGACATGACATCCTCCCACTCATACTCCCAGCCCCCTCCTGATACGCAGATTCAAAAGCAGGGCCTATTTAGAGCTCCTTAATGCTCCGATTAAAGCCTTGATAGTTGTGGGAGAAGGAAGGCAACCTAAAATCCAGGCCTGTATCAATCGAGGGGCTAAACAATTTAATACCAGATGACACTAAGGAGCATGATAACAGTGCAAGCAGACCTACAGCTGTTGGCAAACTTTCCTGGTCAAATGTATCTTCTTTACATTTGGGGCTCACATATCGCTTTTCATGGCTGGAAAATCTACTTAAATGAACCTCAAGATCTCCAAAAGATTTTCACATGTAAATACCTAAGTTTACTTTAGTCTAACTCAGTTCAGTAATTATTTATTGATTACTTATGCCAGGCATTTTTTAGGCAGGTATTATGAAGAAAATAGAAATAAATCCCTGCCCTTCTGGAGCTTATTTTCTAGCATGTAGAGAACAGTCAATTGAAAGTAAACAAACAGGGCTTCCCTGATGGCGCAGTGGTTGAGAGTCCGCCTGCTGATGCAGGGGACACGGGTTCGTGCCCCGGTCCAGGAAGATCCCACATGCCACAGAGCGGCTGGGCCCGTGAGCCATGGCCGCTGAGCCTGCGCGTCTGGAGCCTGTGCTCCACAACGGGAGAGGCCACAGCAGTGAGAGGCCCGCGTACCGCAAAAAAAAAAAAAAAAGAAAAAAAGTAAACAAACAAAAAAAGTTAATTGAATAGAAGGTGATAAATGGTCTGAGGGTAAAATTCAGGAGGGTAAAACAGGACATGTGAGTTGTATGTAATTTTGAATAGGGTAGTCTGAACAACCTCACTGAGATGGTGTCATTTAAGCAAAGACTTAAAGGAAGTTAGGGAGTGAGCCCTGTGACTACATGCAGAAAGGGCATGTAGTTCCAGGATGAAGGGCAGGAGCAAAGGCCCCAGGGCAGGAGCATGTATGAAGAACTGCAGTGAAGTTGGTGTGGCTGAACCACCATACACAGGGCGAGGAGTGGGACAGAAGCTCAGCTGGGTAACAGGGGGCCAGATTGGTTTTACAGGCTATTATTACTTTAGTTTTTATCCTGAATGAAATGGGGAACCACTACAGGGCTTGGCATAGTAATATACTCTATCCTTATGTTAAAAGGATCACTCTGGCTACTGTGTTGAGAACAACTAGTAGGACGTCAAAGGTGAGGAAGACCAACCAGTTAGGGTGTTATAATAACTCAGGTGAATGAACACGGTGGTAACAGTGCAGTGGTCAGATCTGTATACATTTTGAAGATTTCCTGATAGGCTAGTTGTGGGGTTTGAGAATCCAAAGTTCTAGCCTTAGCAAGTGGAAAGCTAGAGTTGCCATAAATTGAAATGGGAAACACTGCAGGAGAAGCAACATTTTAGGGGAAGAGTAAGAGTTTAATCTTGGATATGTTAAGTTTGGAATTTCTGTTATACTTCCAAATGGAGATGTTAACAGGAAGTTAACTGTAAGAGTCAGGGAGATCAGGGAGGTAGATCTGGACTAGAGATATAAACTGAGGAGTCATTAGCATGTAGATGGTATTTAAAGACCGAGACTGGATTAGATCAGTAAAGGAGTGAGTGTGGATTGAGAGACTATGAGAGATAGGCCTGGGGCACTCTACCATCCAGAGGCTGAGTGGGAGAGGAAGAAATTACAACTAGTGAGGTAGAAGGGAAACCAAGATAGGATGGTATCCTGGAAGAAAGTATATCAGTAAGAATGGAGTGATCACCTGTGGTCAAATGATGTGGACAGATCAAGTGACTGGATTTAGAAACACAGAAGTGACCTTATGAATAGCCATTCTGGTGTAGTGGGACTAAAACCTGAGTAAACTAGATTCAAGAGAGAATAGTAGAAGAATCAGATAGCTGATACCTAGAGGAGGTTTACTGCAAAGGGCAAAAGAAGACTGGAGCAGCAAATCTACGTGGCAAAGTGTTAACCCATAGGGACCTGGTCATTGTTCTCTAAGTATGCTGTAGACATAGTCTCATTTCTGTATTTGTCCATGTTTTCTCCTGTTTAGAATGGTCTCATTCTTTAAGATTAGCTCGTCTCACTTTATTCTCAACAAATATTTACTATGCCTTGTACTAGATGCTAAGTATACAAAAATAAATAAAACATGCTCCTTTTCCTAAGAGAAGACAGCATAACATAATTTGTAGAGCAATGAGTTGAATTCTAAGTTGCCTCCTAGAAAAGTGTGCCTTGGGCAAATTACATGACCTATTCTAGGCCTTGGTGTCCTTAATTCTAAAGTAAAGGGAAATAAATTTATCCCATCAGGTTGATATGAGGATTAAATGAAAAAAGGCATGCAAAGCACTCTGCCTGGTACATAGTAAATGGCAGCTATTAAGGAGCTTTTGAACAGGAGACATACTGTACTATAGGAGGGAACAGCAAATATCTGGAAGAATGAGAGAATATGGTATCTGTGGGGAAATGAAAACAGGTTCCTAAGTCTAAAGCAAAGGACAAGGCCTCTAAAGGACAGGGCCTTAGTAGGCATAAGACAAAAAAGTGTGTGTATGAGTGTGTAGAGTGGGGAAGGGGCCATGATGAGATACATGTTGTGGCCAAATGGGTTACTGATGACCTTAAACCAGAGTTGTGCTGGCAAAGGAGTAGGTGCAGAAGCCAGAAAAACAAATTTCCCAGATGCGTTTGCGGATCATTAATAAATGCATAGTGACAAAAGAA